TAAAAACTGAGTAGGAGCATAGACAAATCCATAAAATGATCCTGGCTAACCATTTGAGATCCTGGAAACAGAATTCCGGAGGGTTCAAGACAGGATTCTGAATAAAATTGAACCAGGTCCTTTAAATTCATGATTCTGACACAACTTTCCATACTTTCGCAAGGAATAAACAGCACTGACACTAGGGATAAGTTAGAGTTACTGATTAATTACGTAAGGGGAGTTAGCAGCGGATTTGACTTTTTTCTTCTGATATTTGCTTCTAGACTTGGGTTGAGTTCGCTCTTGTTTGGATTAGATGCAGGATTATATTCTGGGTCGAATGGTACTATTTTCAAGTGGAATCATGTCACACAAAATGGGATGCTGACCCCATGTACTCGGATTCGCTATTATTCTCATGATATTCTGGTTGTTTATTTTGTGACTGATGGTGCAGTCTCTGCACAGAAACGGTTTGGAGTAGTTTTTCTTCAACGGATCGTGCTCTGATAATAGGTGCAACGTACGATTTAACTGAGTTAAGTTGTATTAACCCTCTTCGAAAACTTAGGAACACCTACGAACATCGAGAATAGATAGGATGAAGACTTCGCTGACAATGGACCTAATGTTACTTTCATCTTGATTATATGATGGTTACGCTGAGCATTTTTTATTATTATCTTGCTGTGGCATTGATTAAATTTCATAATGTGGTCGACTGCTTTCTGATCAATGACGCCATCTTAATAGTGAATGTTGAGATTTTTTCACAATACATAGCCGGTGCCTATCAATTGGTTTAGAACGAAACACTCATCATCTTTGAAATTCTCGCTCTCCGATTACATACAAAAGACCGTTCTAATCTTTGAAGAAAAAGCAGCTCGAACAGACTAGGGCTTATTTTAACACATTTCTCCACTTACAAATGTGCCTTGTTCACGCTTGAAACACAGTAAATAGACAATCTTTATTTTTCGAAAATCAACTTCCCAAGCATAGTTTTCTTCAGAATCGCTTTCGTTTTCTAAAGAAATTTTTCGTTTTCAAAACGTAAAGACTGCTCATTCCAACGCGTAAAAACTCATTTTTTCCAGCGATTTTGTCGCACCGGAATATAATCGTACAAAGAATCATCATAATTTTTAACGTGTAGTAGATGGCATGTGATTCGATACCAACGTTATTCTTCGACCAAAGAAGATTCGAAAACGAAGAAATATCTGATCGGGATTTTCGGAAATATTTTCCTGTAAAATTTTATCCAATTCAGAGACAAGGTTATGTCCATTTTTTTCGAGTAAAATAATTTGGTTTTATACTAAACCCGACTCTAAGAGGGAATAGTCAAAAAGGATAGGTGATGAAAGAGTACTCCCGGACTCACTATTTCGGGCGAAACTCTCAATTTCCGTCCGATGACGTCCCTTGGAAATAGTACCATTTCATGCAGAACTTAATTCTCCAGCTAAACCAAGCAAGTTTACACTCAGCACAAGCCCACGATCGAACGCCAGCAAAGAAAACTGGTCACAGGAGGAAACCTGACCCAGTAATTAGCGTGAAACACCCAATTTTCGCTGTAGGACGTCGCCTGAAAATTGTACCATTCGACGTAGAATTTGATTCTGCATGTAACTCAAGCAAGAGCAGACTCACCACGAATCTAGAAACTAATTTCAGCGGGCAAAACTAAAAATTTGCTACTAACATTCCTTACGTCATTGAGTTTAAAAAATTTGTAGGTTAAACGCAAATTTTCAATATAGATCCGGAGACTCTGCGAAGAGATTTGTTACTTAACGGAATTTGATCGCGATAACATCTCGCGATCAAAATTCCCAAATATAATAAGATATTACAAGAAACAATGAAAAAATAAACTTTATCTGAATAATATTTTTTAATTCAGATTCATTACACAATTTCATCTAAGTAAACGAAACAACGAACAGATTAATTTATTTTAATTAAAACATACAAGATCGATTCAACGGAGACTTCAATGAAAGCATAATGTAGATGAAGCCAGCAGCCAACTCGAGCCATTCTAGCAGCGATTCCCCCAGAACGTCTTCCAGATGCCCTAACTCATGTTCCAAGTAGATTTTCACATGGTTCATCGAATGGTGAAATCACATTAAAGATATCTTGAACCATACTGACACAAACTTAAAAATATAGGTTTTTCGTCATCGATCCAAACGCGTCTGAAAGTATTCCCAAGGGCGACTCGTCTAGGATGCGCTTCAGATACTCATCTTTGTGTTGCAATTTGATATCGGCATGTTCTATTGAATGGTGAAATGATATTTACCATATCAGGAGACATTACTGGAAAAATTTAAAATTATTGGTTTTCTCTGTGGGCCATAGGGAGACCGTAGTGCTAATTCAAGTGTGACTTCGCCTGGGGAGTGCTTCGCGTATTCTCGTTTCTGTTTCAAGTAGAGTACGACATGGCCTCTTGAATGCCGCACTCATAATCACAGTATCTTGCACAACTGTCTCACAAATTGAAAAGTAGTGCTTCTACACCATGCGCTCCCGGGTGAGGGAAGCCGACGGATTTAACCTTGCAGCGACGCTACTAGGAAGCATACCATGTGTTCACATTCGGGTTTTAAGTGGGCTTTTGCATGGTCTATCCACTACTGAAATCAAACTCAGCATATTGGTCACCATCGATTCACAAGCTGAAATTCATTAATATTTCCTGTAGACTTACAGGGAATTCGAAGAGTTATTCGAACACTGATTCATTCAGGATGTGTTCCAGCTCTCCCTATTCATGTTGCAAGGAGATGTCGACATTCTGTATCCATACTAAACGCAAAAAGGCCGAAAATGTATTTTGGGCAAAATCGCTGCTGGCATTACATGAAGATTTCTTTGCTACCTATCGTGACAAGCCAGAATAATTCAAATTGCGAGATAATGGTTCAAGATATCGTGTTTCTGATTGCGATATTCGATAGACTATGACGAATTATATTGGGAAGGCGAATGAGAGCACTTGAAACATATGCTGGACGATGCGCCGCTGGAATTACTCTAATAGACTGTTTACTTTACTTATGTGAAAGCAAAGGAAAAAATGAAGGGAAAAAGTTATTATGTTTACAAAGTATGATTGATATTCGATGGAGACATCATTGAAAATTTAGAAATAAACAGAATGAAGTTATTTCAAGTACAAAATATAACTAATATGCATCAGAGATTTACTTGTAGGTTTAAGAGGAACAGAAAACACAAAGTTTTTCGCATTGTGAAATATAATTCAGATGCAATGGATACTTTTCAGTAAATTTAGGAAAAAAGTATAAGATAACGCCATACAAATTACAAAATGCTGATCGAAAATATTAATTTTGTTGTAACTATTTAAGAGGATAGAACACAAACTTACTGGACTGATGAAATACAATGTCCCTTCAATGGACACTTTTCGACTAAGCTAGAAAGAAAGAAAAGTTAGAGTTCTCTGTATTACAGAGTATGTTTCGGATTGAATTGACACTCTCTCGTACGTTTGGGGTATCTGGGTGTGTGTGGCTCTTTTTCTTCGTAAGAGTGTAGGTTCGTACAGTGAGAAAAAGGGCAAGATCTGCGGTCACAGTCAGAGCTACAGCTACACCCACTAATATCGAAACAGTCTCATCTGCAGTCGCCGATATCGATACGTACTCACACTCAAACCCACACTCACAGCTGCACACGAACATCATACTGTCACTCACATCCTGTAAACACACCCACACCCTTACACACAAACCGAAATCTACAACTACATGTATACCTAGGAGAGAGAAGTTACCGTTACTTGGTAACGTAACGAGTAGGTAACGGTAACTTCCCACCTTAGCATTCTCTGCTGACCCTATCTGTTCAGTGCAATTGTTATCATATGGATTTGTTCAGCATCATTACTCTTATTAAATAACATCTACAAACAATTCAGGAGCTGTTTCGATTTACAAACAAAAAGTGCAAGAGAATTTGGATCATTCAAACTGTTCAACTTTCTTACGAGTACGTTAAATAGTTGATGAATGTTCTATGTACATGTTGGACTTCACGTGAAATCGAATGCATCAGTGATCTACCAGAAGAAGTGTTTATAATAGGAGCAAAATTGATTCTGAGAAATTAATTTTCATCAATCGGAAATATATCGTACAGTTGGAAAAGAGTGCACTATGCCGCCTTCGTTGAGTTTTGGTGATATGTAAAATAGTGGAAAACATCTTCATCATCCATGTACTCATGACTATCATAATTATCATCATTGTTATCACACTTTTCATTATCCTCATCTTCATTTTCTTCCTTCTCTTTCTTTTCTTCACGTTCATCATCAATGTTTGAGTCACCCGAATCTAATCTGTTGCCATCTGAGCTAGTGCTCTCGAATACGTCTATTGGCTTGTTATTTTTCATTTCGTTAGTACGTAACCAACGAATGTTTGGTTCGACAGCTTCATATCGTGTGCTTAAAAACTTCAACAATTGCGAATACACTGGCAATTGTTGTTTTTTCTCTATGGAGAAATATTATACGTCTGATCGGGTACTGGCAGCACTTTCGTCTCAGGTACGAGTTTGAGTATGGATCTTCCTGTTATGAGCACCCACGATACATCAGAACCACAATCACACCTACCTACATGGACACACTGACACACCGATCCTCTACATTTGCACACACACTCTACCTCATGTGTCGTGTTGTAGAAAGCTACATGGTCATCGCTTAGAATCCAATGGTACGAAAGGAATAAGAATGTACAGGCATCGGTTGTACGGGCACACGACCACTTTCTATTTTTTCTTTACGTGATTTATCCATTCGGAGGAAATATAATTCAAAAAGGCAATCATATGTTTAGACAGTGAAAACCGCAAGGAACCTCTGTAAATGAAGTTTTTTTTTTAGATTTTTTGCATTTTTGCTTAGTTTAGATTTCGAAGTGGACATTATCTTCTTTTTAGACTGTTGAATATTGATGATTTTAATCACAGGATGTGTGACTTTTTTCCCATGAACTACACTCTACATAATGATTAGCACTCATAAATTTCTGCATCAAAATTATTATTTGCCTAAGTAGCTCCATGCTCATCCATTGTTTGACACGATGTTTTTGTCCCCATCCATGTGTAACGTATTTTCCACCCTCATTGCGCCAACCATTCGCTTCATTTTCTGAAACAACAATAAATTCTTTACCTTGCTTCATTGTGTGTCTAAAGTAAATGTTCCAAGCTGCTTGTTCATGTGAAAAGCGATTTCGCCATTGACTGCAATCATTTAAATTGTCTGGACATTCAATTAAATCTAATAATTTCTGACGACTTAAAGGAGTATTTCGAATTATCCAAAATCCGCAGTTTGAATGATTTTTATTTCCAATAGCACGTGCTTGTAAAAAGTGAGTATCATTCGTAAAATTCCAACGAAACATTAATGATTCAATACTAATAGAAAGATCCGTTATGAATGCATCACTGTCAAAATGAACAACAATGTCATATTTTGGCAAAGTATCGTAAATGCCTTTAAGTCGAGTCCATGTCAGATGCCTGTCAGGTATGATTGGTACTTTGATTCGTTTAAAGTTGTAACCATGTATTAACGCATACAACTGTGTATAATATGAATTAAAGCTGTCAAATGATAGTTTATCAAAATATGCGTTGGTATTATTCTGATCATAAGTGGTGTCAAGCTCTCGAGTATCTGCGTGAAGTATACAGATTCTAGGTCTTTTCCGATAAAACCTATCAGTTGGCCATTCAAAGAAGTTTCCAACGGTACTGTTGTGTATAAATAACTAGTTAATAAACATAGAAAATGACAATATTTTAGTAACTCAACGGGAATCACAACACTCAGTAAAAGACTTGATATAAACTATTCATCTGCTAGTTTATCCAAAAAACAAACCAAGGAGCAGCGAGCAAACAAAAAAAATTCATGCTACACAGGCTTTGAGAATTTATTAAAACTTCCTCTCGGCGGAAGGAAGAGTCTTACGAAATAAAAAAATTTGCTGATATGTATTCATGTTTGTACACTTGCATGCACGTGAATGGTCATGTTCTCACATAAATTCGTGCAAGCTCACGGGCGTGGGTTGGTATGCAGGTGTGAGAAAGGCTTTGACTGTTTATGTGAATGTCTGCTACTTCCTCCCCAATCCACACCCACACATGTGACACTGGGAATCAACAGTCCCGGGAACAACTGTCCAAGGAGCAAGTGTCGTGGGAGCATATTTCATAGATTTGTAGATTAGGGTATCAGAGTATACTATGAATACTGGTGCACTTTTTATATGCTGTGTAAGTGCGGTTATGAATGTTTGTATGTGTCTAGGTATGGAGCTTTGCATGGGCATCACTGTGGGAAAGTGAAGGATGAATATAGACTTTGGTTGTTGGCGTGGTTGTCCGTTGTTTTGTATTTGTTGGGTACGCATGTGGGTCTACTTGTGAGATTAAGCTGTCGCTGTGTGGATGTAGGTGTAGGTCTTGTAGTGGGTATGTGGTATGAGTGTGATTTGATGCTGTTGTGTGGATGTGATGTGTGTGTGCTTGTGGGTGTTATAGTGTTGGTGTGTTGGTGGTATATGCCAGCGGGTGGGTTTGAATGTGATGGGAAGGGAGGGGTATGATTAGGACTGGTTGAATCAGCGAAGAGATGAACCATTTGAAGGTAGACATAAAGAATCTGACTAATACCGGTACACACATCAATATCCACAGTCACCCTCATGCATACATTTGGTATTAGTACTGATTGAACTTGAATGGTAGTATATTCTATAGAAGAAGTTGAACATCCAGTTAGGTGTCAAGTGAGTCACAACGAACAGCGCTACATGTAGTTAAATCCATACAGGGGCTCCTATGAAAAAGGATGTTATCTCTACAAGCGGGACGTTGAACAAATGGACTCAGAAGTCATAGTATTCTTGTATTTTCATAGAAACCTAGAACCGATAATTGGAGATTTTCGCTTTTTGTTCTGTCCACTTTGCACATCGTCTTTGGGTTAAATGTGACATTACAAAATATACCGTTCAAACTTTTTTCGGAAATAGCAAACATCTCGTTAACTGTGACTTCTCTGCATAGTGATATAGGTTACAAATATATACGTATCGTATGCATCAAACTCAAAGTTTTGAAGTACTAGAGAAGCGTGTGATGAAAATAAATTAAAATCTATTTTCTCTCCTTTCTATACTAGAGATTGATCCATTTCGTATCCGCTTGTTCTCAATTATGCAATTCTGTTTTGATAAGCTACGATTGACATTGACTGAGATTTCGCCTAGTGAACATCTACTCTAACATAATACTTTTACCTTCGATATCAAGTCTGCTGCTCTGAAGTTCTGTTCTGAACATTTAAAACCAATTCCATGTGTGTCAGCTGTAATTTTTGTCAAGGCATAATGTAAAACATAGCCAACAATGAAACCTAGAAGGGTAGCACTGTATTGTCTAGACGTGAACAGGTACATGATTATTTTGTGTATAACTTTATGGAATAGCTCTGAACCTGTAATAAGACGAATACTGTAACACCGTACTAGCCGACAAAGGATACTTTTTTTTTGTAGGACAGAATCAATAATTTCTAATTAACTCAACTGTACAAGAATGTAGAATTTTCTTTACAATATGACGTACGTATTCGCATGTCTTCTTCCCAATCGAGAATATAAAAACTAGGCATTCAGACACAAAAAAGAAAACATATTCAACTTACAACATATTCCTTCAAGTTTCATATTTATATTACTGGTAGTACCCTAGAGAAAATCTTCTGTGCTTCTGTGCTAGATTCTTGACAGATCCAACAAGGTTCCTCCAAAGATTTGCTGTTTTTTCGGAGGAAATGAATGAACCATGACGAAAGCGCACAGTCACCGAATTTCAAGACCCTGACACAAATTAAAACAGATTTCAATGAAGGCCTTAACCAGTTTGCCACTAAGTTTAAAATCAGGAATGAGTGCAGAAACCTGTAACTCCTGAAAGAAATGTATGGCGACAAAATGGCAAAGATTTGGATAAGATCGAAAATGAGGTCATCGAGCGGCCTTGAGCAGCTTTCCATTCTTTTTCATTGAGAATCGAGCAGGATTTCAAAGATTCCAAATTGAAACATTCCTAATAATATTTTCCAGGATGTTATCAAGTTTATTGATAGACTCTTTGCTAGATTTTCTCAATATAACAGAAGAGAAATGAACACATAGAGTAATGATCTTCAGATCTTCAGCCTACGAACTAATTATTTTATCTGAGGGTATTCGCCGATGTTATTATATATAACTACTAGCTTTCATATCTTCAATTTCGAATGAATTTTAACTTATAATTGAATTGTACATAAACGCCGACTATCTCAAAAGATGTTTTAACTACATTGTCATTCTAATCTTTGATCCAGTTTATGGAATTCGCCTATTTTTGTTACTTTCTACTTCATCGAAAAAATCTATTTCTAATTTTTTTCTATTCATAGTAACTATGAACCAGCTTCACTAAATGATGTATTTCTTTCCTAAAAAACTACTTAATGGAGAAAATTAGTGCAATAGTAAGCTAAAATGAATGCAATAATTCAATAGTTTCTAATATTTCGTTTTAGGATAAATTCACGATAATAACTCGTATTTATGACCTAAATCTCAAATCGATTTCAATACAAATTTTTCGAAGACCTAGAACAAAATGTTCTGAGATTTTGTCAAAAGCTCTGTTGGTTTATACAAATATGCAACCATAACCAGGATCAAGTTTTGAAAGACTCCTGGATTTTTTCAGGTTCGAAACGAAAGATATTAAAAAAGTTGGAAAATTCTTGCATCTATAACTGTTAAGACTTTCATCAACATTGATATTTAAATTTGTTTTGTGATCCAAATATGTGTAAATCTTAAACAGCTTAAACAAAACCAGTTCAAATCTTGATGAAACATTTACATCCATTTTTTTCAAGAGCCTGAACAGGATCTGTTATAGACCTTTATAGAGTCTGGAATAAAATCCTGAATAGAATCTAAACATAAGCTTGTAGTTTTAAACTATATTCTTGGATTTTTCCATGAAAATTCTGATCATGGTTGATATTGTCTTGTAAGGATCCGAAGGTGCTTGTTCCTGTAAAGTTTCGAGTAGGATTTTGCTTGAAACTTTGAGGTTGGGGGTCACTTAGTGCTACTTTAAAAAAAAACAGAAAATAAAGGAATAAAGGATTGCCTTCACGAGAGAGATTGCGATGGTAAAAGTTCAAAGGCCAAAGAATTTGTGAATAGAGAGATTTTTATCATTTAGAAAATGCATTTTTATTGGAAACACACTAACGATAGCTAATAAATAGAGAAATCAACAATCGAGGTGTTTGTGTTGTGAGTGAATATGATTAAACATATTTGGATCAAATTAAACCTCTCACAGTCAGAGTAACAAATTCAAAATATAGACTGCTATTGGCGTGCCTGGCAGAATATAATATCGACTTTTATATTATTCACAGTTTGAATATAGAAACACCACGATATTAGAACAATATATATTCACTTTTCATATTACCAATTGAATATTTCGATAGTGCGCTTCAATCATTTTTCTGAATTTTATCGGTCACATTAAAATAATATTCTTTTCGATGTATTCTGAAACTCTAGTATTAATACAGATAAACATCAGCTATCAGATATCAGATCTTTTAACTCACCAATAGTTTCGGTTTTATTTTAACTGACAACAATAGGTTATACAATATACTATTTCAACAGATATATTACAAGTGAAGGTGTAGATCTTCAACGAAATAGTAGTGGCATAGATGGTTTTTGCACTAGGCACAAGTTAATACTGTTTGCTCACCACGATTGTTAATTTAACAGTAGAAGTCATACAATTGGAAGCAAAAATGTCCTGACTTGGAAATGCTGCTCTAAATTTGTTTAGATCAGCTTGAATTTTTCAGGTATTAGGAAAAATGTTTTTTTACCAACTAAAGGACGTAGAACCTCATTTAGAAAAGTGCGATATTTTTCGTCACTGCTTTTCCCAGATTTTGAAGCTCATATTACAACATCTGGTAGCACGATTGAATCTTTTTGCACTCTTTTTACCGAATTCATTTTTCTTTTCTTAAAGAATGGGAGATAACTTGTCTAAAGAGCGACCATTAGTTGATGTAATTGGTTGTACTGTGAAAAAGTGCATTACATTGTATTTCTTTTCAACAGCCATTCCAGTTGCTCTTTCACTAGTAAAAGATAGAGTCTTTGGAGATATATATTCTTGTTGAAATGAACAATGATCACTCTTAAAATCTTCATATAAACAATAATTTGATATTAAAGGTGCGTTACTTCTAATCCCATATTAAATATCTAGGGTATATATGACTATTCTGTGAAGACAAATGCATTTC